CGATCGCGGCCGTGACGAGCGCCGTCCGCGGGACGCCTCGCGCGAGAAATACGAGAGATAAAACAGCCAGTGGAGAATTTCAGCGGTGCGACATTTTCGATACGACGCGACGCGATTTATCTCCCTTTAGCGGCTCTAATTAAAGTACGACAAAGGCGAGCGTCGTCGATGTATCGACCGCCCGTGGAATTTATACGCTCTCTGATTCTCGCCCCGTGGCCAGCCAACGGGGGCGGAGGGGAGAAGGAGGATCAAACGGTGGTTCGTCGACTGGGAGTAGAGATCGAGTGAAACGACTGCGATAAATTCCGCTGAATCATAGCGATGTGCGTTCGTTCGCGCTCGTTGAATATGGATTCGGCGCAGGCTCCGCGACGCGCGCGATCAAATAGCTCAGCGTATCCTAATACAGTCGTGATTAACCCCCCCCCCTCTCTCTCTCTCTCTCTCTCTCTCTTTCTCTTTCATTCTCTATCTATATATCTATCTCTGTCTCTACCTCCATCTTGATCTCTACCTCTACCTCTATCCATCGTGCTCTCCCGGCTTCGGCTCTTCGACGAGTTGCAGTCACGCCGCGCGTTGATTAGATTCTTAATTCCGTTAATGAAGCACAAGCGCTAACGCATCGCGGCCGACGTTAATCCATTAGCGCGATATCTCACGACGCGCGGTTGGTTTACTTCGACAATGGCGAGCGTAGCCACGCGATGCCGCAAGTTAAATTCCAAGTTGCCCGGGCGATCTTAGCTCGATGCGGAGGAGCGCCGACTCGTCTCCAGCCGCGCGGCTAATTAATCCGAAGTTAATGGACGTCCATCCCCATGCGGCGCCCCCTCTCTCGACCGAAAGCAAACGTCGGGTTATTCGATTTGGTAGTCGTCGCGAGATCATTCTCGCCGACGATCGATCGTCGTCGTTGCGCTCGCGCATGGACACGAGATGTATAACGTAACTCGGCGACAGTTACGTCAGAAAAATCAATTCGCACGGTCGCACCCCATCGCCGTGGGAAATCCATCGTGGTGTAAAATAGTTGCGCACTCGCGTATGTGTGAGAAGCAGCGGAATCCTTGTAGCGCGGAGTAATAGCCAGACGTTCGATGCGCTTCGCGAAACCTCTAATATGTGCACGTGTTAGGAATGCATGGAGCAAATGTTAACACGGAGCTAATATTCTTGCCGGGAACCATCGTCATTACTACACACACACACACACACACACACACACACACACACACACATATACACGGATGCGCGCATACACATTCGCGACGACGAAACTCTTTAGATAAAAGAGAGCGAAGCTCACTTTACTTTCGTTCCAGACCGAACCTATCTTGGAAACGGGAGTGTTGGAAATGATTATCATTTTTTAGAAATTCTCTCGTTAGCCTCGCTGTTCGCCTCGATCAGCTCGAGACATGAGATTATTTGATATCGTTTTTGGTCACTACGTACACTAGATAATTCAAGCTACGGAAAATATTTACTTCGCGTCCTTCCCTTATATATTAACCCGCGAGTCCAGAAATTGAAGCATGAAGCATAAATTATTGCGAGCATCACTTGTTGATCGTAGGACGAGTAGGCTGCGCGGTTCAACAAAATTTGCTTTGCTAATGCATTTTAATCGATCGCCGACGGAACGTAATGATTGAGAAATTAATTAAGCCAGCCATTCGCCCGAAACATCCGCAATGCGCGCGTCACAGAGAGAAACGCTTCTCTCCTCAGCTTTAATTTCAAACAAACCGATAATAAAAGAGCACGCGTTTCTCCTTTAGCACTTTCTTGTCTCTCTCTCTCTTTCTCTCTCTCTCTCTCTCTCTCTCTCTCTCTCCCTCCCTCTCTCTCCCTCTCTCTCCTTCTTCCTCTTTTATCGTATTCTCGCCGATAACTCTCAGAAATAATTAGCTACCAACCTGAAAAGTCCTACTGGTCTCTCTTGGGATTTCAGGGCGCGCTTTCACGTTTCGCAGAAAGAGGAAACGAACGAACAAAAAGAGAGAGAGAGAGAGAGAGGGAGAGAGAGAGAGAGGGTGGGAAAAAGAGCAGAGGCTTCTCGTCGAAACTGCACAGGCTCGGAGGTCCTATCTGAAAAATCCGGACGCGGTAGGGGGAAGCCTCCCGGCTCCGGAAAACTAGTCCCGAGGTGTTCGCGACTTTTCAAATCAAGGGAACCATTATGGAACTATTTACGATCCCGATCGGAAGCGCGCGGCTCCCCGATCGCGACTTCGGGCCATCCCTGGACTATTACGGGTGTCTTTCGAGATCGGACTAACCTTCGCGACGAAACAAACGGCAGCAGCGATCCTCTTCAATCACGACGCAAGAGCTCCTCTCCGTGTCCGATCGGGATCAATTTTCCGCTTGCTCGCCAAACGTCGACAACTTTTCGCACCGCTCGTCACGAGCGCCTCTAATAGGACAACCGGTGAAAAATGAAACAATGCCAATCGGGAAACTCTCTCTCTCTCTCTCTCTCTCTCTCTCTCTCTCTCACTCTCAGTCCTGCCGTGATATCGCAGATATCGGAGAGCCGGTCGGACGCGCCGCAAAGTAAAGCCGTATCACACCGCTCCGTCCCGACGATTTTATCGGCGTCATGGGCTAGGCACGATGAGAAAAGGGACGACGAAACCGTCGCTGTTTGAGTTCCAATTTACGTTTAATAATTGCATTCGATTAATATTCATTGGAATGCAAAGCGGTCCAACGGTCCCGGCTCGCTTGGCCGTTCGCTCCCACCCGCGAGCGTGAAAGGAAATGGAGACTAGCGAGAGCGGTTTTCGCCAACTTTCGGCATTGTTCGACGTCGTAGCGCCCGCAGCGACGGAGTAGACCGAAGATAATAAATCGGGGGCAACGGCGTCGTGTTCTCCGCCGCGCGCTTCGCGAACGATAATAGTCTCGGAGACGAGCGCGCACGCGGGATACCTGCCGCGATTTATTTATGAGACTCTCTGTCTCTCCTTTGCATCCCCTCTCCGTCTCTCTCGCTCATTCTCTCTGTGGCATCTCGCGAGGAGGACGTCGATCCGCGTCGCCACGGCTTTTCTAAAGCGTCGCTTTCGTCGTCGTCGGGTGATGAAAAAATATATAGGACGCGAGCATCGACGGGTGCGTTCACCCCGGAACGACGCGTCGCGAAAAGGCGCGTCGCGAGGTTCTCGCGGAAACGTATTCTCTCCGGTGGATTCAGCTTGACTTTTCGTCGACGCGAACTCCCGAATTTTCGACGTAATGCGTATCCCGGCGACTAAACCCGGGGATTAAGATCCCGCGTAGGGAGCGAACTTTAATCGAAGTTCTCCGAGGAGCAAGGTTTTGTTAGCAGTCTACATCCCCGAGAGATTACCTCGCTAAAAATGCGACGTCGAACAAGTCGGTAATTATGTTTCGATTCGAAATTACGCGGAGGAAACTGCCAAAGTTTCTCGGCACGAGTGTAACGCTTTATTAATGAGCCTGTTTACGTGGAGATCTTGTCGCGGGAGCTTCACGTGCGCTGGTAAACGATCGCGTGAAGATGGAATTTCGCGGTTACAATATACACTGCGAAAAACAACGGACGAATACAAATGTCCTCCCGAAAAGAATAGGAATAACGAGACGAGTGTGAATCGCTTTGTACCAGAATGAAGTATTCTTTCTCTCACTCTCTCTCTCTCTCTCTCTTTGAAATCTTATCTTTGGGAACCCATGCACCTGCCAGCAGGCGGGAGTCAACACACACACACACACACAAACGTTCTGGGAATTGTGAATACGCCTCGAGAGAGCAAGGACTATTTCTGGCGTCGCGACTCTACGAAACAAAAGGAATTTACAATGAGCGAGTTCTGTGTTCGGTGCCAAAGCTGCAATCGTAAATCGAAAACTTTCGTCCGCCCTCCTGCACATCCCTCTCGCCTCTCAGAATCTCACTCGCTTCTTCGCGCGCGACACCAACTTCGTTCTCGCGCGTCTCGTCGTGGAAGCAATCTCGATCTCTTAGTAGGAACAAGACGAAACCGATCAGACGAAGACCAGACGTGGGAGGACGAAAGTCCTAGACATGAGTGCAAGATTACGTCGCGATCTTGAGGGATTAGCACTTTCGCACTGCCGGGCAGAGTGCAGGTCTCTCTATTTTTCTGGGTCAGTAGAAGCGGAGCGACACAGGTCAGACGCGCGGAAACTTCGCGGAACGTGAACGGAATACCGCGAGGCATTAGTCCGATCGAGTCACTTCCGTATGTGTGCTTTCACACACTTCGCAGCTTCGTGGGAATACGGACGACGGGAATACTCGCGAGCGCCGGCAACGCGAGGAACTCACGCTTCCGATCGGAAGCGGGTATCACGCAAGCTTCTCGCAGCGATTGAACGTAGCGCGATACAGATCGAACGTGTGATCAGGCATTCGGTGACCCGAATAGCGAAAGAATCGCGTGGATTCAAGGGATTAATCGATCGACACTCTCCCACTGTCAGAGAACGGACGCCTCGTAGCTCCCGCAGTCAATCGGCCTGAAAACTAGTGGAGAAACCACGAAATATATCAGCCGCACCGTCGGCTTCCGCGGAAAAGAGCGGAAAAAAGCAGACACGCGAAACTGCGAAACTCGCGTAATCCCGTATACCCTCCTTCCTCCCCCCTCTCCCCCGGGTATGAAGGCAACGTGTCACGTAGAAACAATGGAGAAAGCACACAAAACAGCTTACATCGGCAACCCGCGGCGCACGAATAAAATGCACATCGCGTTAATCCGCGAGAGTTTACGGAGGCACCAAATCGCACCGTCGGAGGAGACACGTTCTCCTCGTAGCCGCTTCTTCCCGAGAGAGAGAGAGAGAGAGAGAGAGAGGGAGACAGGGGAAACATCGCGATACCGCGCCGGCGGGCGATCTCGCGATCGCGACCTCCTGGTCGAAGCAGAAACGAGCGAACGACTCGGAAACGGACTCTACTCGCGGGCACACTCGCACTCGCGAGAAACAAGTCCCTGTACCTTTCTAGGCCAAGATGATCCGCGGCTAACTCGGAGTAAGCCTCCGCCGTGCGATCTCTCCTGCTCGCCTCGGCTCAACGTTCCCGTAGCCCGACGACGATCTCGACGACGATCTCGACGACGATCCACCACCTCGTCTCCAACGTCTCGGTCGGACGAGCGAGCCTCCTGTTATCCTTCCATCGATCATGAACAACCGCGGCTTCACGCTTCTCGTCTCGGCGCGGTTACCGCGCGCGCGAAAACGATATGTCACCCGCGTGGCCGGTGCAGTTACAAAATACGACGACTCGAGTAAGTCGACTCGCAGCTGCGAGTACGCGGCGCGCAGTGACGCGGAATCGACGTAGGTCGCGCGACGCCAGGCGGCCAGACACGCACGCGGTTGCACGTACGTTGCCGTGCGACGGCGGAAGGCGAACTGGACCGAGCGCCGGAGACTGCCTTGTTCAGCCGCTGCGTGTACGGTCTGGCGGCCGCTTACGCCGGCGACGAGGACGGCCACCACGACGACGACGACGCCGACGCCGACGCCGTTCGTAGCAACCATGGCGCGACGCGGAAGCCGCCGGAGCGCCCTCATCTCCCACCCTCCGGCCGGCTCATCTCTCTCTCTCTCTCTCTCTCTCTCCCTCTCTCTCTCTCTCTCTCCCTCCCTCTCTCTCTCTCTCTCTCTCTCTCTCGTTTCATCCCGTTCCGACCGCCGCCGCCGCCGCCACCGCCGCCGCCGCCGCCGCCGCCGCCGCCGCCGCCGCCGCCGCCCTCGCTTCCACGACCGCTCGCCGGAGCAACCCCCACTACTCTATCGATCCTACGGGAGAGGCCCTCCGGTGCGTCCGTTCCATTTGCCTCGTTCCAGCGGAGACTGCGAATCGCGCTCGTAGCACCTGGACCGCCGTCGCGATCGTGAAAGTCGAGGAGGCTCGCGAGGAGAGACGCTCGAGAAGACGCGCTCCGCCGGCGGCGGCTTTAGCGCCTCGTGGGATCCTCTCCGAGGGAGGACGCGGGGGAGACGCTGGATCGTTAATGAATCGACCTCTCTCGTTTTATCGGCAGGTATAAACGCACTCTCCCAAGAAAGAGAGGGAGGGAGAGAGAGAGAGAGAGAGAGAGAGAGAAAGCGGACGCGTCGAGAGTGGATTAAGTGTCACAGCGTTGCGACCAGGCAACGGCCGTATTCTCGTTAGCGCGATTGAGAAGGGAGGAATTCGAGCGATCCGGATCGATAAGGCGGACTAACTGCGGGAAAACGAGGCGATTCGTGGCGTTTTTCTCAAACGGGCTGGAAAGGGAGAACGCGATGCGCAGCAGAGGCAGGAACCACGGAACGAAAGTAACGAGAGAAGGAAAGCACCAAAAACCATGTCGAATGTGTCATACTAAGGGGCCGTCTCAAGAAGCAATCCTCCAGTGAGGAGCTGGAGAGAGCTGCGAGGAGAGAAACTTCCTCTAGAAATGCATTCGCGATACGCGTGACATTGCTGCAACAGTCGTTGCTTGCAAAAGTGATGACACGTCGTCGACTTTAAAATGTCTATCATCGGAATGTATTTTCAGCGTCGATAAATAATACTTAACCTCGAGAGTTCACGGATATCCCTCGAGCGGACGCTGAACAGATTTCAGGGGTCCGCTAATTTGAACGGGAGCTGTATTAGCCTTCCTGTCAACTCGAGCTTATCTATGTTTCAAGTGTATTATCTCGCTGCGCAACTCATTAGCGAAGAAGCCCATGCATTGTTACATCGTAAATTTATAGACCTCCCTCTTTTTATCACGAGGGCTTTGTGTAGATAGGTTTCATTAGATCGGCAAGGGAATTTATGGCGCGCGAAAGGTTAAGGAGTGTCCACAGAGCTCTGCAGAGAAATACTGGGCCGTGAGCTGTAATAGATATATCCGAGCACATTCGCGCGCGACGGGAGAGCGAAAGTAGCCCTTAAAGCTCTCTCCCATGCACATGTCGCGGTGAATTTTCCGGTTATGCGCTCGCGAGAGAATCTGATCGATTCACCGGCGCGCGTGTCGTCGCGGCAGCCGTTTTCCGATTACGCGCTCGCGGGAGGTGCCTAAACGCACGATATGTACGATCGATCCCTATATTCGCGCTATATACGGTATTACCGCCGCTACGTGCGGTTGCCTGATTTCCATTACATGTTTACATTAAGCTCGACCCGTGCGTTAAGCAAATTAAACTAGGCCATCGCGCACTTAACGTTAAACGCGATACTTTATGATACATTGTACATACAGAGGAATTAATTAAGGAATCATAATTCCGCGTTAGAATCGTGCGGCATGTAGAATTGGCGATCATCATTTTACGGTGCGAATGCAATTAGAATGGATGCGTGGATACTTTGTGCGTCTCGTCGTATTAAACGATATCGATGCGACTTGCTAAAGTTACGTGTACACGCGCCTGATACATTTTGTGATTAATTCTTTAATCTCGTGACCGCTTTGAAGCGCGTTGCACGTTAATTTCAGCGCGTTAATAATTTCATCGCGATGGTACGGTCCCGTCGGATAAATGAATAATAACGAAATCTTCACGGTAAAGTAAATACGAAAATGCATCGGGCACAGAGCGGAAAGAGATACAATCTCGACAACTGGTATAAAAAGAAGTAAAAAGGTAAAGAAACGAGATTTAAAGCAGTAGGAGAATTTTTAGTATTTCTTTTTTTTTTTTCAGCGCATATTTAGGTAATGTGCCGGAGGTAGTTTCGCGGTAGAGTAAATTTCAGAATATATCGTTACGGTCGAAAGAAATTTCAAGCTTAGCGGAAAGGTAAAAAGGAGCTAAGAGGAATGAAGTTAAAGCGTAACGCCGCTGTGCTTTGACTCAAGGTAGTGCGCATTTGACGATGACGGAATCTTCATGGCCGGGAATAAATTTCGAGATATAGCATCGCGCTAACTGAAAGGAATCACGGCTCGGAAGGAAAGAGAGGAAAAAAGGAGAGGAAGAGAAGGAAGAAGAAGGACCAGTGAGATGCAAAGTTAAGTCGACGCGCGAACTCGCGATATTATTTCCATAAGTCGCGCGCGTTCGACACTAACGGACGCTTCTCGGCGGAATAAATTCCGAGATATATCGTTTCCAGCCGAGAGAAATCGCGAGTTACAAAAGGAGCAGAAACCCAAAACGCAAAGCCGGCGCGCGAGTTCCCGATATTATTTTCCGAAGGAACGCGCACTCGACGCTAACGGGAGCTTCGCGGCGGAGTAAATTCCGGAGTATATCGCAGCCGGCGAGGAAAGCCGCAAATAAAACGTCAGAATTTCCACTAATTCGGTAGATTTCCAGTAGCCCGCCTCGCGAAAAAGTACAATTTCCCAGCTCGAGCCGAGCGAGCCGAGAGAGCCGAGCGAGAGGTGGACGGCATGATCGAAGCTATTTCTCGAAGTGGCCGATAGCGCGTTCCGAATCTGTCAAAAACTATAATTCACCACAAACGGTCGGGACGCTGTAAAATCGCGCACGGCACAAAAGGATACGGGAATCGCGTAACGTTTAAGAGAGCGGCGCTTTTTTATCGCGCGAAATTATTTTCGCTGCTCGACTCTCTCAGCCCGTCGACATGCGACGGGCGTTTCGCCTGTCGCGAATCGCATCGCGTTAAGGTAGAATGAGAAAGACAAAGTTTACGGTCTCTCTCTCTCTCTCTCTCTCTCTCTCTCTCTCTCTCTCTCTCTCTGAAACACCGCCCGAACTCTTCTCCTAACGGCTCTCCGAAAACAGCAAAAATAATTATCAGCGATAACGGTGATCTCTCTCTCTCTTTCTCTCTCTCTCTTTCTCTCTCTCTCTCTCTCTCTCTCTCTCTCTTTCTCTCTTGCACGCGTATATGCGCGAGCATAATGAGCATAAATTTTGCATTTCGGTCAGTCATAAAGAGGCACAACATCACGCAAAATAAAATAGTTTTCAAGTAGCGCGAAGTCGCAGAAGTATAATTACAAGATTTGAGATTTCATGTTTATCACCGCGCGTGAAAATGGGAGAACTTTCTCACGCAGCAGCTCGCCAAGTTTGCCCGGGCTGCTCGTCGAAAGGAGCTGAAGTAGCGACGTAAAAGATTAAACTGCTTCTTAGCTTGCGTCGTTTGACGCAAAGAGGGGAAGAGAAAGAGTAAGAAAGAGAGAGAGAGAGAAAGAGAGAAAGAGAGAGAGAGAGAGAGAGAGAGAGAGAGGGAGAGAGAGATGAGGGAGACGAGACAAGGAAGAAAAAAGGGAGAACCGCACCTAGACTTAACCGAGTTTTGCGGCCGGCATTGTTGCAAGTGACAGAGTTTTCGATACTACCGTCGTCGATGTGGAGTACGGCCTCAGCCGTTACGAAATTTTTATCGCACCTTTGGCTCTCAGGAAATGACGCTGCCGAGCACGTCAGTTGGGCGTAAAATTTTCAGGGAGAAGCCGATCGCTGGGAGTGTCGCTAAAGTTTTTGGGGGAGTGCTAATGGACATCTTGTATGTTCAAAATATACACATACACCGTGCGTGCTTCTTTTTTTCGCGAAATTTCTCCGACGATTACTAACATCCCCGCACTTTTCACAAGTTTCTCTCAGCGCGATATTGGCACGAGTCAACCTGTCGATATGTCACAGTCGAGTGTTCTAATACCATCGAGCCGGGCGGATTATCGCGCGCTAAAAAAAAGAATAAAACATTGCCGTCAAGAAAGATCGACGTGTATTTAGTGTATCCGCGTTGTGCGCATCTCTCTCTCTCTCTCTCTCTCTCTCTCTCAATCTCCCTCTCTTTCTCTCTCTCATTTTGAACTTAATTGCGTATCACATATATGCTCATTCGGTATTTGAGGAAGCATCAAGGCGCTATTCGACATTCGTAAGCTTCTCCGGAAACACTGATAATATTCGCGTAGAAATAAATCAACCAAGTGCGAAATGCAGATAATTAATTTCCGTTATCAAAATGTACAGAATGTTTTTTCGAAATCCACGAAGCATCGTAAACATGTTTATTTCATACTTCACACAAGCTGATTCGAT